CTTGTTCAGCTGCTTTTTTATACCATTCAACTGCTTTTTGTTCATCTTTTTCTACTCCAGTTCCATTATCATAACATGCAGCAAGATTATTTTGAGCACTGGCATGTCCTTGTTCAGCTGCTTTTTTATACCATTCAACAGCTTTTTGTTCATCTTTTTCTACTCCAGTTCCATTATCATAACATACAGCAAGGTTAAATTGTGCACTGGCACATATATTAGTGAAAATTTTTTTCAGCATAGAATCAGTGTTATATCCAATATATGCAGATGTACTAGTACAGTATATAGTATGTTAGATGTCAATGTCGACGACAAGACTGACACAAGGAAAAATACGCAGCATCGGAATGTAGTGTAACCAACTTGAAACAAACTCATTATCAGGAGAGCTGAGACAATTACAAGGAATTTTTTTAAAAAATACGTCCTCAAAGTACACTCTTCGATTAAGAAGATTGTTCTAGTAATAATACACAGTGAAACTCGATATAACAAAGATTTTTGACGGAACTAAATTATCGCTAATTAAATGTCTAATCCTATGTCTGATATTACGTATCACTGTCTGGCCAATCAAATTGCATCAATTTATTAACTCCATGACAAAGCTTAAGTGGGACACAAAAAAAAGATAGGTTACAATTTTGTCGTAATCTTTTTTAGGCACAATATCGACGGGTCGCATACGATGCTATTACTGAAGAATTACACAGTGAAACTAACGGAGGACACGGTTCTACCCATTTTCTAAAAATCGACAGTTCGCGATATACTACTAACAAGTCATTATATGACAAAATATTCAACTTGACACTGAAATCCATAAATCCCTCCAGCGTTAGTTTGTTTCTTCTTTTCAATGCTTTTGTGTGTAATGAGATATGTAACTCCTTCATTAATGATCTAAGTCTTGCGATTGTATTATTGTATTGCTTTTTAACCTCCGTTTCTCTTCCATATCCTGATTCAGTTTCCCCCTCTCCATTTACCATTTGTACAATATCATCTACAATCACGCTTTCCTCAAATTCAGGAAATGGCAATCGTTCCCACGCAAGAGCTGCAAATTAATTGAGTCGTATATAGTGATGTCAAGAGAGATTTGTCTTGCTATCCTTTGTGCACCATTGTTACTGAACGAAAGTGTCTATCATTTAAGAAGCTAGAATAAGCCGGATTACAAAAGCCAGAGTAACATCTAAGCCGACTAGACGACAGGGAAGAAAACGTGCAATATGTGGTATATTAGCTAAATCGGTTAGAAATGATTTACTGGATTCATTATCAAATTTTGAACACAATACTCTCCCAAGCACTGTAACAGATGTAACTAACTTTCTAATACTACAAATTCGATCCTGCATGATTATTGATAAAGAAATACCTACTTGCTATGATGATATAAAACCAATGTGTATGCCTCGTATTAATAGGGCTAATTTCTTTGTACTGTTACAGTCTGCATTTGATTATCTTTTCACTTAAGACTGAACAATTATTGTTTAGCACACGCGCAATCTTTCTATTTCTAACACGAACTACTCGTGCTGCTATTAAGTGAAAACAAAATTTTATAAACGCTGAACCGAAGGAATAAATGAACTTTTAATTCTAAAGCTAATAACTCGATTTGCGTATTTGGCTAGTCAATTGAATCGAATTATACAGCTACTCGATACTTTCGATATTACAATCAATTGACGTTAATTTATGTAACGCTTCCGCAAAGTTGATGACTGATATTCATGGTTAATGCGTAGACAGTGTAAACGGGGAATTAAATTAGTTTTCTTGGTATAATTTACAGTAAGTCTTAATAAATACTAAACATAATTATGTGTAGCACAATATTTTTGAAATCAATTTTACAAATGTCATCTTTTGACCAGTAATTATCAAGGAGATAATACAAATAATGGATTATTTAATTTCCTGCGATCACGTCCGGTTCATTTCATCGACAACTATTTCATTTCGCCGACAGTACAGTTCACCGTCAGTAAATTTAAAGCTTTAATGCTGCTAATTTTGTTTTAATAGCTATCATTATAATAGAAATTATAAAGACCATGGAGGTAAGGATGTCAATAAGATACTTTCCTGTGTCTTCTGATTTTTGTCTACGTCCCTAACGATATAGCCTATTTTTTATGCGCATATCTACGTAATTTAGAAAAGTGAATAGGACATTTACGTTATGTATTGGTCACACGTACGGAACAATAAATAAGTCCCTACATCCAATCTGTAAAATTCCTATTATAATAAAGCAAGAATTAGCAGCATTGAAGCTTTAAATTTACTGGCGGCAAAATGAATGTCTCCCTTATTATTATTACTCAACATGTCGGTTTAATTTGCTAGCTATTGGTACAGTGAACAGTCAGAATGTCATTGTAAAAAATAGAATAAACCAAGTGGTGGTAACTCAAGCAAGTAATAAACAAGGAAGGATATTCTTATTATTGAGGCCATTGCTCTATTTTACTCGATTGATGATCTTCGTTAAGTCACTTTTTCAAGCTTTGGTTGGGTTCTATACACTTTTTCATTAAATTCTATCAGAAGCTATAAGACTATTATATAACTATCGACATAGACAAAAGGAAATGCTACAAGGATCTTACTACTACAACTCCTAAAGTTGTGTTTTTTATAATACTTGTTGTACTCTTGCCTAACCTTCTGAAAGTTGATGTATGATTTCTCTACAGTTTTAAATTTGTAATCTCGTCAATGTTGTGTTTTGTTCAGCGTAAAAAATATTATTTATGAAATACTGGCTCTCCGTGAAATCGACATAAGGCTTCTTCGACAACAACCCAGATAAGCTTTACTTTCTAGCAGCGTCAATAGTGTTTTCCATAGCGGAGCATAGAAAAATGAATTGAAGTTATACCAAAAACGGTTTGTGCTTCTCATGTAACCTTCACAATACCTAATTTGGTATAACTCATGAGCTAAAAAAGAGACAGCTGTTGTTATTCTTCCCAGCATATGATTGAATTGTCTTATGTGTGGGAGGCAATATAATTAATATTAATTAATGCTAACAAAGAAGTGACAAACTTATTTGACGCGTTAGCGCCCATCATTGATGACTTGAAATTCGCACATAATAATAAATGATTACTATGTTCTCGGTTAATGACATTTCTCATATTAATATTCGTAAAGGTAGTATAGCACTAGTAATAGAATTGGAAAGTCTCAAACGTAGCTTTCGAGAACGTTCTTTCTCCGTTTACGAACCTTTCGAAATCTTGGTATGAACGACGCTCGTAACGCCTCTCCATGAAACAATTGTATTCGTTTCCAGCACTCGACCTGCATATTGCAGGGGGGGACTGCCTCGGTTATCATAAATTGGCCTTCTTGTCCCCCGTAAGTGTGTCATCATAGAAGACACAAACCTTTCTTTTTTTATCCCTCAACACAACTTTCAGAACTAAAATAAAACTCTTCTGTACCCCTACAATTCCCTTTATGTTTACTTTGTCGGAGTTTATGTCGTAACATGCTTTATATAACAAAGGGCTTGGCAAAGACCTTGTTTTAATGACGTATTCACGCTTTGAAATATAAAGCCCTTTCGGCGTAGAACAATTATTGCAGCGAGAAGTGAAACCGAAAACCGAAAACCGAAACCGAAAAACCGAAAACCGTTTTTTATACAATAGTATTTAGGCATAAACAAACCAAAGCCTGTAGACAAAATGAGCATACCACAGAAAGTAGCAAAGTCGGTCATAAAAAAATCGTTACGATCGAACTTTAGGGAAAGCCAAAATGAGAAGACACATGCCGGAAGTTCTGATGCCGGACCTAGTAATAGTGCCAACATACTGATGAACAAAAAAGACAAAAAGAACAAATGGAATATTCCGCCCGGGCTGACAAAGAACGAAGCGCAGGCACTAAAGATTGTTAAGAAACGAGCGCGACTGTATGATACAAATTTCTGCTCGTGTTGCTGCTTCAATGTGGGCCTGGAGCCTGTCGTTGGTAGGTTTGCTTATTATTTTGAATTGTTGAATTGAAAAGAGAGAAGAAAAAAAAAAGTGAATTGACAATTTACCTTGTTTGCTCGTTGGTCAATAGGATTGATTCCTATAATTGGAGATTTTATTGGAGTATTTCTTGCCCTAATGTTGGTTAATACTGCAAAAAAGGCCGATTTGCCACAGTTGATTGTGAGCAAGATGCTGCTGAACGTTTGGATAGACTTTTTGGTAAGTTGATACGCTACTGCTCCCTTTGCAGTCTGCATTGGCGGTACCACTATAACCATCATTCTCACATTCATCTCTTCCGCAAATAGTTAGGATTGATCCCATTTGTGGGAGATGTATTTGACTTCTTTTACAAGTGTAATACCCGGAATGCAATTATCCTACACACATTTCTTGAGAATAGGGCAAAGAATAGATCTTTAGTTGAAGAGGGAACAGTCGAGATTATTGCTCCTAGATACCCTCAACCGCCAGAAACTTCTATGATACGATGAGTGGAGCATTATGTTAATAGAGTTAATGACAGCATAATAGTGCGTTATATTGGGTTATATAAGCTTCGTGTGGTGAACTATTGTGAAAAGGGACATTTGTAATGGACAATCAAGTCGTAATGATGATTCAAAGCGCTGATTCCAAACAGCCATTAAGTTTAATGTGATGATATCAACGTATCTTCACGTTTTACTGTATTGTATAAATACATAAAGCGATATATCGGCACTATTCTTCCAAAAGTGTGAAATAAACAGCGAGGTTCTGGTGATGATTCAAACATGTTTTATTAATTGTGTACATACAATCAAAAGAACAATGCATCCAGCGATATTAACAATACAAAAGAAATATGAGGGGGCAGCGTAATATATATATGATAGTATAATTTATGAATAACAATACATCCAACTATGACATACACACAGAACTCATGATATATATAGTCCTTATCTAGAACAATCCGCTGTTGTTATTACTGCTATACGGTGATGGTTGTAAATTCAAACCACCATTGAATGTCCCTGTGACACTCTGTTGTGGTTGACCCATCGTGCCAAAGCCCTGCTGACCCTGTTGACGTAAAAATTATATTTGTTATGAGATTCAGACTCGTTTAGTTTAGATAAAGATTATCAGACTATACCTGAAATGGATTTCGGTTACTTTGAGAACCAAGATCAAAATCGATTAAGCTAGGATTAGCATTGGAACTGGTGAAGGATGTTGTTGAAAAGGGTGTGGCAGGCTACAATAGATGAAAGTTTGCTCAGCTAATGAAATCAATCATGAAGCGACGCCTTGTTTCTCAATTCTTCATACCTGAGTAATGGACGAATATGCGCTCCCGCTTGTAAGACTTAGCAAATCACTTGTACCAGTTGGCTGGCTACTTATACTACCACCCAGTTGCGGTGAGCTAAATGTACCAGTTGATTGTGGACTCAAGCTACCACTCTTGACAAACGGGTTTCCAATAGTGCCTGTTGAATTAGATCGTCCTGAAGTAGCAAGTAAATTGCTGCTATTGGCATACCCTGATCCACTAAGTATGACAATAGTAAATGAATTGATTGTTCACGATAAGTGGTACGCGCTGGCCAAATAGCCAAATTAAAATTGATAGCTATTACTTACACTGGGACACGAAGATTTCCAACATTTCCAAACGTATCTTGTCCTTCCCTGTTGAGCATAACAAAATAAGTATCAAGCAGTGCTTTGGTTAAAATTTCACTTTAAATTAATTAATTACCCAGTAGCAAGAAGGTCATTCAATGCCGCATTTCTTTCAGTTACTTTCTTCTGCGTCTGCCAGTAAAATAAGTATTATTGTTATGACAACAAGTGATTGTAACGATTATGCGAAAAATAAATAAATAAATAAATTGCTTACTGGTGTCAATTGAGGCAATCGTTTGTCACCAGTAAGTTGAGCCTGTAATCTGCTGTCCAAAGTTGACTGTAAATTATGGAGGATGAGAATTATAATAACAGTTAATATGGTGGGAGACGCTTACTCACTCATATATACCCTATTCGGGGTTCTTTTAAAACCCGCTATTGCTTTAATATTATTTACCTGTGGTGTGCTGGTAAATGAATCCAAAAATGATGTGGATCTCTGTGCGTTGGATGGGAAAGTAGCAGCTGGGTATCCGGTTTGTTGTTGGCTCTGCTGCAATTGCGCTAATGTAGCCAGACTATTATTGGTGCCAAATGCATATCCAGCTTGTTGTGGTTGTTGTTTTTGTGTGGTGGTGGCAAATGGATTATTAGTTCCAATGGTCGACGTCCCCGTTAGCTGCCCTTGTAACTGATATTGGTTTTGTAATAGCTGTTGTTGTAATAGCTGTTGTTGTTGTTGTTGTTGTTGTTGTTCATACTGCAACTGTAGTAGTTGTTGTTGTGTGTACGGATTATTGATAAATTGATTATTGTTCTGGAATAGATTCTGATTATTATCATATATTTCAAGCAGATCGGGTTTGCCATAATTTGGAAGTGATGGTTCCAGGGGTATGGGGTTTCCAAAGATATCTGTCTGTTGTTGCTGAGGGAGCGTGTTATTGCTAAAAGAAATTTTAATCAAGTGGATAAGTCAAGTCTTTAATTGTTATCTGATATCCGTAATAAAACTAACCGTTCTTGTTCTTTTTTACGCTGTTCTGCAGCCTCGGCCTCTTCTTTACTCAACCGAATAGCTTTCTGCAGATTTTCCTCGTCCTCCTGACTGCGATTAAAAATTCAATAAATCAAATGATCAGTTATCCGATAAATAGCACTGCCTTATTATTTTTCACTATTATCGTAAGTTACGTTTAACAATTACTTTGCTTTTAACGTCTTCTCTCTTTCCAATTTCTTGCTCTCTTCAATTGCCTTTTGCAGATCGCCCTCTTCATCAATGTACGGAGTGTTTTCTTGGTCATATGGCACACTTCTATCGGCTGTTTCACTCATGGGATCATATCGGCTACCCTGAATACGCTCTCTCATATTAGCTCTATTCTGTCTCTCCGATTTCAATCTCTCATCATCTTCCAGTAGATTAGCAATCTCCTTTGCCCTTTGACGTACTAACAGTCATGAGGGAAAAAAGACATGATTAGTACATATAATGATTATTTCTACAAATACGCTATCATAGGAATACAAAAAATATTACCATTGACGCCTTGATCTTTGCCATACTCATCTATAAACTGGAATTCTTTGAGTGTCTTAACTATATAAACATTCTTCTTTGCATATTTTACGACTTCCTCAGACCCGATATGAAGACAATAATCCAACACAATCAACGCCTAATGAGGATTCATCAAAATAGATGTAAATAATGTTTTGAAACATTAAGCAACAAGAAGTCTTGTATTGTGTTTAGTATACAGGATACGATACCTTGAAAACGTGTCTCCAATTCTTTCCATGGTCGTTTAGCCTCTTGTCAAGAATCTCCATAATTTCTAAAAAGTTTTGGCTGTCGAAACAGACAAACCACACTTAGTCGCAACGCAAAGCAACCAATATAACTCAAAGTGACAGTACAAGCTTTATAGTTTCCACCACAAGTAACCTACTTACTGGTTATAGGTTGCTTGACCAATCTCATCCATTAGAGTCCCGCTTGGTCCCCATGGATCGTTTGAAGTAGCTTCTCTCACTTTAGCTTGGATTTCGGAATAGCCTTTTGTATAATTTTTTCTATATTATAAAGAAGTACAATATGTATATATACGTCAACGTGTGCTTGGGAAACTCTTTGAGTGAACTCGTCATCGACTTGGGTAAGGAAAAGTCTCTCTGTATGATACAAAATAAACATTGACTACTCTTCTTTTGAACGCCAGACAAGTACGAACATTTATACATACATTGAGCGTACAGCGCCCTTTGCCATATACTTTGACATTGTTGCTTACTATATAATGGGATCGAGAGTTGTCGAGTTGTGTATGTTGTTATACTATATATATTCACCCCCCGTATTATCGAATATTAGAGTTGTTTAAAAGTTCTTTATTTGTTTCTTGGATTTTTTTTGGCGTAGGAACTCTATACATATATATACGTACATATATATACGAACTTCCTGCCGGTTACTACTAGTTACGTTGGCTTTTTTGTTATGAACCAGTGAAATGAAAGAAATTACTCGGCACATGTTCTAAAGCTGCATTTAAAAGAGGCTTGGCACGGTTCTGTGTAACATTCATACATCATGCTTCTCGCATTTCATCATTCCTTAACGCTCCTGCAGTCACCAATGCTTGATGCAAGTCTTCAATCAGATCAGCCGCATCCTAACATTAGAACGTTCTATGAGCAGGCTTTTCTTTGATTACATTAAACAGTGCGGTGAATTTACCTCTATTCCAACGCAAAGTCGGATGAGGTCTTCCGGAAAACCTCGCTCTTCACGCACAGCAGCCGGAATGCTTGCATGGGACATTCTGCATGGCATACTGTAAACAAAATGACATGATGCGGTAAGCCGACAGTCGGGTAAACCAACCAGACACGTAATAAAATGGCGGTTCACTCGGCACATATATATACCTTATCAACGAATTAACACATCCAAAACTAACACTGATGGCCCAAAGTTTAGTCGACTCGACAACTCGCTCGCTTACGCTGGTATCTCCTGTTGTGAAACTCAACACTGCACCAGGCCCCGATGACATTCTCGCATGCAACTCATATTGGGGATGGGATTGCAAACCAGGATAGCTCACTTGGAACCCATGAAGTTCCAAAAACGTGGCAATCTGCATGGCGTTCGATTGCTGCTTATCCATGCGAACGGCCAGTGTCTTGACCCCGCGAAGAAGCAACCACGAGTCAAATGGAGATAGGCCACAGCCAGTTGCATTTATAGTGAAATAAATTTTCTAACCAATTTAAAGTATGTCGTTATAATCGTCAATTACGTTGATTAAAAAAAAAGAAGAGGAACTTAGATTTCTTTATTGAAAAATGTTTCCCGTTTACCTCTGCGACTACTTTATCCTTAACTGCAATGATACCAGCCATCAAGTCATGATGACCACTAAGATATTTGGTGCCCGAGTGGATAACAACATCCGCTCCCAATTCTAATGGCTTTTGCAAATATGGCGACATCATTGTGTTATCGACCACAATCAACGCATTAGGGCATTGCTCATGTACAATCGACGAAATCGTTGAAATGTCACAAATCTTTATCAGGGGATTTGTTGGCGTTTCCAACATAACCAATCTTGTTCGGGTTGGATGCAAATATGGAAGAATGACCTCTGGGTTTGTTGTATCGACGTGGTGGGTTTTGATATCACAGTTCTTGTTCAAAAATGTCAAAAGACGGTTCGTGCCTGTAAATTACAAAAAGTGTTGGGAAGGGAAAAACAAACACACGAATCATGACGTAGCCAGTCGAATAAATCTGTATATACCTCCATATAAATCGTCTCCGGCAATGATTTCCTCGCCCGTTCTGACCAAACGAGTCACAACGTCTAATGCGGTCATTCCGCTGCTTACAGCGAAAGCACGATTCGCTGACATGATTTTTGCCAAGTGATTTTCTATTCAAGGATAAATGACTTTATTAGGATCATAAGGAATCGGGCATTGGCACGAAAACAACTATTAATTGCCATGACTCTTGTGCAAAAAAATCCATACCCAAGTGAGATCTCGTCGGATTACCGCTACGTGTATAATCATACTCCCCAGTTTGTGTAGCTGAAGTCTGTTTGAAAGTGGCGGTCTGATAGATGGGTACCGATGCAGCATTATAATGATTAGCTCCAGAGCCCTCTGGACAGTCTACAAACACTAATTCTGTAGCAGGGCGGTATGTTTGGCGCTTACTGTTGGAGGACTCTGGGTGAGTGTTCATAGTCTAAGTCTAAATATATGATTCTAAGGGCTGAAACGATGGGACTGTGATAAGGTGGGTGTTGTAGGTGTTGTTGACCAATCAAAGAGGTTGCAAATTACATCATAGCATGTAGATTGTGAGCCACGTGAGAAAGAATGTTAAACCACCGGGTATCACAGTGCAATTTGCTCTGCATACCATAAATGGTTACGCGCCAATTCTTGCTGGCATTGTGCTACACAAAAATCGCAACATTAATGGTCATAGTAATAGAAAGCATTCAAGATAGTTAATTCTGCAATTATGATATAATAAAATGTTAATAAATAGACGCATTTAAACCTTTAGTTATTTTATCAATACAAATGATCTGGAGACAAGGAACGATTGGTAAAATGTAAGGTTTCAGTAACAACATTGTAAGAATATATTAATGCTGTTAAAAGCTGTTACAAATAGTATGACATTATAAGGGACGAAGGCCGCAGATATCGATAACTTCTCGGCTGTCACAAAGACAAAGTTAACTACTTGATAAAGCAAGCAGTTAGTAATGTTCAATTTGTCGCAAATGTATTTATAATAAACGGACATAGCAGTAAAAAGCCGAAGTTAAGAACCCTCCCAAATAACTTAGTTCAAGATCTAAATAAACATGTAATTTACTAACAAACAAAGAAGCACAGGAGCAAATAGGCTAACATTTTGTTTAGTAAAGAGTTTGTGACAAAATTTCTAGTACTTTTATTTTGTTGACATGGATAATGCACTTACACAATATTGCTATGGGGGAGTAATGCCTTCGAATGCTCAATATATTAAAGGCTCACTATAAAAGACATGAACACACAATAAAAGTACTTAAACAGTGTTTGTATGCCCATAAGTATTGAATAACTAATCCAGACATTAGTAAAACTGTCTATTCAAACAACGGATAAACGTAGATTACGGTTTATATGGGTCATCTTTCATGAGCTTGTTTCTTTTATTGAGTATAGAGTTACAAATCAAATTATTATTATAACGGGTTTGTCTAACCTGAACCCAATTAAGTCTAAAATGAGCGGGCTGTAAGTATTAGTACAAGTGGCTCTCGATATAAGAACCCTTCGATATAAGAAACTTTCGATATAAGAAGGTATTTTTGCTGGACCCGATTTAAAATCTTATAACAAATGACTCTCGTTATAAGAGATTTTCGATATAAGAAAGGAATTTGTTGGGCCCCGATCACTTTCTTATATCGAGAGCCACTTGTATAGAGTTACTATTACTATGATCTATTTCCTGGATATTTATTTATTGATACTATCTTCATCGTATATTGAAATGCTAATGTCACGTTTTATTAAAACGTCTGTCATTACAAAAAGGCCTAAATAAAGACCTCGAAACCTCTGTCATTACAAATTATATTGTATTAGTATACACAACCCCCAGCCAACAGTTCTTGAAATTTACTAGTAAAAAAACTCTAATTTTGAAATCTTTATTGTCTATACGTACTTACATGGGGCAGACTGCAACAAAACCAGACAAAGTGAACATTTTATAAATGAGAGGCTGATTATGATGTGGTTGTAAAATTGACCAGTGTGACTGATGAAGTTTTGAAAAGTAATAATGGTGCCCATTCATAACTTATGAGCTTGTTAATTTTAATGCTCACTTTATCATACCAGAATGTGATGAATATAAACTATAACAGGATTAATATAGGATTATCTCTATATAAAAAATATTAATATGAAACTAATTTACATTAAATCCACTATGGAACCCAAGAATTACAGCACTATTAGAAGCATTCTAAAAAAAGCTCAAGGAGAAAAAATTGCCCCTTATGTTTTCAAAATCAATGATACCCAAACTCTCCAGGAATATCTAGATAAAGAAAGAATTACTTATGAAATTTACCAAGAAGAACGAAAAATAGTAAACCATAAACGAACCTTAACCCCAACTTATAATGAACCAAGAAAAAAACGAAAATTAGAAGCATAAGCAAATAGTTGCTCTTTTATTATTGTTAGATTGCCATCAATAATCAGGATGAATATGAATTTCTGTGATTATCTATATCTTACTTGAGGTAAAATGACAATAAATATGATAATTTGGCAACTCTGACACAGTTCATGACCAGCAAACCATTATCGTATTAGAAATAATGAGTAAGTATGCAAATTAATAAACTTTCGGAGACGATGTGCAAAAACCGTTTGATCGGCAAATCTATTGTTTCAAGGTAATGATATTAATATGTTTAATGAACGCTTAAATTCTGATCGGCGTTTAATGAACTGGAAGATTGGTTATAAAGTCAGCACCATTTCACACGCATTTTCACTTAAAAAAACAAATTTACAATCGAACAAATTACAAATTTAAATAATTACCATCAAACGCATTTGTTCCGTAAAAAACAATCCATAAGATGCTCATTTCTGTTGAATTTTTTTGCGGGCTATTTATTGGACTTATTATCGGTCTCTCTCTGCATTATAAAACTTACAATCAGCTCGACAATATAAGCCAAAAGCTTGAAGCGATAATTCAAGCAATCGAGCCAGGAAAAATTAAAGTAAAATCCAAACCCGCCAAACTACTCAGCGAGCGAAAATACCGAGAGAACGTCGAAAATCTATGGAAAGATTTTAAAAAATTATTTGATACGAAAACTGAGCTGGATTCAACTTTCTCGTTTAACAAAATGGCAACCGAAATCTATACTTTACGTGAAGGAAAAGGCATTGCTGTCTCAACTCTAAAAAACTTTTACCTGCGAAAAACTAATCCGCGGAAAATGACTGTCGAAGCAGTACAGGAGTGGGTTGATAAAGAAAAGGAGAGGAGAGAAGAAGACATTGATAGCCTTAACAATACTGTGTAGCATAGATTCACTAGCGCGACCAAAGTATAGGAGTACTCATCAATGGCTTTGGGTCCGAGTATTTCCTCCCATGCAATCGCTCTAGTGAATATGCAAATGTACTGTACATATTCTGTGACAATTAAAGACAACGTTCTATCAAACAAAGAATGTAGGTATTCGTACTAGTCGTACGACGAAATACTAACACTAATCTAATCGAAAATAAGTAACTAATTTAACACATGTGTTGTATCAAATTTTCCCGTGATCTGATTAACCAGACGGGAATGATCACATGCAGTAAATGCGCAGTAGTATCACTTTGGTACATCAATCACAGGGGCAACAATCGGGCAATCTGATTTGATGCATGCAATTGTTCCACAACGTGATATGCGCAGCAAGATATAAACGCGCAGCTACACGTTCTTTTCTTTATTCTCATAACTTGACAACATGGACCCACAGGCGAGATTTGCTGCGAAATATCTTAGACAACATCCCGATGCTACTGACGAAAAAATCTACGAAGAGTACCTCAAAGAACATCAAGGTAAGCAAGCAATGAATACACGTTTATTGGGAGGATAGTTGAAATGCATTACGACGTGCGTTGGGGTTGGGACATAGAGCAGAGTCGTAGCAAAGGTTGGGTTATATGTAAACTCGTTTCAAAGGCAAATAAACAAGATACGAAACGTTTGGGTTAAGTAGAGTAGGAGCAATGAAGGAAGAATAGTTCGAATGCTGTTACACGTATTAGGCCATAGAATATAACTCAGCAGGTTTCATCAACCCTATAGCTGGAAGGCTTTCTTCCACGACAAAGACATACCCTGAAGAAGCCGAGGATGGCCGTGATAGCCTGATGGTAATGGATCCCGAACGTCTCAAAATATTTGTTGATTATATGGAGAGCCACCCCGTTGGCCTCGTACGCAGCCCACCCTATTCGGGAAAGACTACACTTGGCATGCGGTTACAAGAACATTACCTCACACGCAATTTCAATGCTGTGTATATTAGTCTAGCATCATACAAGCCAGACACACAAGACTTTGATGAATTCTGGAAGTTGAAGATTGGTAGTACTTGGATGAGTATTAGTAGCAGCATAATGCCAACTAGGATTATCGTCGACGAGGCACAAGTTATCTATGGTGGTGTTCAGTTCTTTTGGGGTACTTTGAAGGTACTTTCATCGACCTTGGGCCAACACGATATTCGAGTGCTCTTACTGGGTACATATCATCCAACTTACAACATTGTGATGCCGATGACATTCCCAGATGCTCTTGGATTATCATCCCTTCGTTTGACACAGGGCGAATTTGGAAAGCTTGTGGGCATGTACGTCCAAAAGCGACAAATGGGTCGGCCCTTCAACATTACCAAGTCTGTTGAAAAGGTTATCTTTAACTTTGCCTGTGGATACGTTGGAATATGCCGGACAACTTTGACAGACCTGTATCAGAAGTTTCCGAACAGTAGATCACCAGAGGATATGCTGAAGCATCTTGCTTCAAGGGCATTTCTGAATCGTTTATTGACTTCGCATGCTCTTTATTGGGTACATGACTGGCAACCGAAAGATCAGGAAGCTGACTTTCTGCATAAGTTGCTACTCAAATGTAACCCTGACTCGACTTTCGAATCTATCGACCGTCTTGGACATCCAACAATTGAAATATTTCTCAAGATCGGCATCATTATCGAAGACTATTCCAGCAAAAAAATGTATTTTGCTGCCCCTATTATGCGGATTGCCCTGAGTAATCAGCTGTTTACTGCCAGCCTACCAAATTCACCCACACAGATGTTTGATGAATTCTTGTTGCGGACAATTGAGTGAATGTCTCCATCTGTTTTGAAAAACTCTTTTGGACTGGGGTATGATTCCTACTTGCTCGAGCGAACTTGGCAGATGGAATGGTATCGTACTGCAAAGAGTGTAATACCAGAAGATACAACAATTAGCCCTGATGTCGGGCATATCTTTGGTTCGAATGGGTTCCTTGACTTCTACGTTGATGGTAAATATGGCTGGGGAATTGAATTGCTGCGCGAGGGCAGAAGGTTGGGGGATCATGCGAAGCGATTTGATCAGGATGGTGAATATAAAACCATTCCAATGAATGAATGGGTTGTTATTGACTTCCGTCATCACTCCAAACGTGTTCGAAATGTAAATCCTAACTTCTGGCATGTACTCTACTCAGATGATTACAAGCAAGTTACGATCTTGCGTCATGACAAGGAAGACCGTGTTCTTCGCCTAATAGGGGATGATTTTAAGTGAGCTTTAGTTTAACCCAGAGTCTGATTATGGTGGGTAGGTAATTTGCATGTGAAAATAGAGAAAGACACTTTGAAAGTAACTGCATCTGAGATTATGAAAAAGAACTATCAGCAGATTCTACTAAACAAAAT